CGCACTTATACAAAGTAGTTCGTTACATTCATTGATGATCATACTCAGGTCTGTTGGACTTACATGCTAAAAGAAAAAACTGATGTTCGCTCAATATACATCAACTTTCACTTGATGATTCAAACATAATTCCAAACCGAAACTCAAATTCTTCACATAGGTAACGACACTGAATACTTCAATTCTATCTTACATGACTATTTACAAAAACATGGGCTAGTACTCCAGAGTTCGTGTGTCGACATTTTCCAACAAAGTGGGATTGCCGAACGGAAAAATAGGCATATACTTGAAGTTGCCCGTGCCTTAATGTTCACTTCCAATATTTATTGGAAATCAGTACAAGAAAAAAAGATTTTTGTCTGAACTAGATTAAAACAATGGCTAAGACTTATTTCAAATAAAAAATCGTATGGGATCGTTGACGAATAATAGAAATCAGTGAGTTAAGAGTTTATCATCCCACGAGGAATAAGGTGTAATTCAAGTTTAATAGTTTTTATCAAATTCGACTCTAATAACATCAAAAGAGTGATTTGTGATCTATTCTAACTTGTACTACTAAAGCAGGAAAGATGTGGTTTTATCTAATATGGATGTTTGTATTGGATTTATGTTTCCCCTATTTCCATCTATTTAAATTATCAATTAATAATCTAGTTAACTTCATGCATTTTTGACAATCGATAATACTAATATGTTAAATGCTCTTTTTCAAGATACATCAACCTATGATTAACACGGTCCGATCCCATTCCTAGTCCAAATTCACATGAAAAATAATGCATCTAGTTTAAGTTATTTATATAATTGCACGTATGATAGACATTATTCCTAATCCTAACTGTACATGTTAATTTTTCCACGTTCTACACTTGTTGTGAGTATTCCTATACTACAACAAGCAACAATCTATTCAATTAATGGCCAAACAATTCAATAGTGCAATGGGAATGCAAAATCAATCAACAAATAACAAAAAATACCTAAATTAAAGTTTTGAATTGAAATAAACAAAAATAAGGTTTCTTAATCATCCAATATAATAGAGAAACTTAGCTAATAATCCTAAATATTTAATTACACAAGAAAATATTGAATAACATCACCCGGATCAAGAAAGGATGGAAGAAATTGGAAAAATCCTCTTGAATAAAATCTTGAAAAGGGACAATAATCTTGTGAAAATCCACCTTTGATTGATGGATTGCCTTGTTCTTTGCCTTCAAAATATGTAGAATATAGAGGTTTTTAGGTCTTGAGAGGTCTCTTATGTTTCGGTTGAATTTTGGTATTTAAAGGATTCCAAAAAAGATTGCATTGAATTGTTACCAAAACAAAAATAAGAAAAATCCGATTTTTCCCATTTTATATTGAGCCGCTCACCTATTGCAAGTAGGGGCACACGCTGAACCCTTTAGGCAGCCTCAGATGTCTCATAAGAGGAGGAGGCTCGTGCCTCCTCTGTAGGCTTAGGTGCATGCTTAGTCTTGTCCTAACCAAGATTCAGTATTTTTGTCATTACTTTCTCTCCTAATATACGATTAAGTGATTCCGAGTCCATTGAAAATTAACTTAAAGGGCTACAATTCTTCTACAAATATCATTTCTCCAATTTGAACATTTGCTATGCCAACATGGGTTGCAATCTAGGACTGACATTTCGAAATATGACTTTTTGGACTGAATATTGATATTTGATGATACTTTGAACATATATTATCCCTTTGACTTCTTTCCTCATCCAATTGACCCCTGTCACTCTTAAATCTTCATCGTGAGGTCCAACAAATCTTTTGAATATTTTCACTTTAGTCCCTAAACTTAGGATTTGCTTGATTTGAGCTTTTTTCCATTCTTTTTTCTAATTCTTTGTCCAAACATGAGTTTTTCCTAATTAAAGCAATAAATACCAAATCAGGCACTAATTCATCCAAAGAATAACAAAATATCATCATTTGTAGAAACTATATTTATCATGATACTCAAATTATCCACTAAATACGTATATTAAAGTTAGACTACAAATATTCGTACGATTGGGGTTAAACAAAGGAGCTTCTTATTTATACAACTCAAAGGGGCAGTATATCACATAATAGACATTTAATCCAAAAGAATATTATCACAATGGAAAGAATCTGTTTTCTGATTTATGTTGCAGTTGTACTGATGTCATATAACTTGGCTTTCTTAACCAGACCAATTGCAGGCATAAATGCTGATCAAACTGCTCTTCTTTCTTTAAAGGAGACTATCACCATAGATCCTAAACAATTAAAAGTGAACAACTAGTCCATCAATGAATCGGCATGCAGCTAGGTTGGAGTCACCTGCAATTCGTGCCACCACAGAGTTGCAGACAATTATTGTGTAAAAGTAAGTAATTAATGCCATGCTGGTAAAGGAGCCAAATATTTCCATTCAATGCTAAATATGCTGCGTCCATCAGATGACAGATTTTATACAATCTTTGTTAGATTTAGAAATTACTAGACTATTGCGTATTCTTATGTTACTAGAAACTTTCCACACGACAAAACATTTCTGCTTGTAGATGTTGAAGCTTTGTCTGAATTACTCCAACCTCAGACATGGCAAGTTCTGTTTCCTGGAGCAGCAAGGAAAAAGGAGCATATGTTGCAGAAATCATTTTCCGAAAAGACAAACAATTAGAGAATTGGCTAGGAAATGAATGCCATGCTTTTTGTTAGGATATTCGGTTGTAGATTCAATCTCAGGCAACAATTGTGTAAAAATAAGTTATTAATCCATATTGGTTAGTCTAATTAATCATATAATCTTTCTCGAAGTATAGCACAGGTCATTGGATAAACGACTTTGTATTTGGGTTAGTATTTTTCATTCATTTGATGAAACGGCAAGAAGTCAAGTAGTCGAGTTGGTTCCAACCAAAACCCATCATCATCATTCACCGCGTCCCCTATTGTTCACCTCGACAATACCAAAACATGAATAGAAGTCACAGTGGGAAAGGGGAAAGCTCAACCGCGTGGCATAAAACAAGGGCGGAGCCAGAAAAGATGTTCAGTGGGGACAACTTAAAAAAAAAAAAAGTAAAATCCTGGGGGAAAAAATTAAATATTACAAGGACTTACCCCACCGCCCCCACATTAGATCCATCACTGCCACAAAACAGTGGGTTTGGGTTCCCGGTCTTCTTGTGCACATAGATCATTCTTTTTCTCTTTTGGTTTCTATCATGAAGTATTGAAATCTCGACGACTCCTTTCCTTCTTTTTTGAAGGCATTAGGCAGGCTAGTGCTGGATATTGGAGCAATGTAACACAGTTTGCGGTTCACTTAACCCACTGAATCAGCCTAATCTAAGATTTTGTTGGCCTGTTTCAGAATGTTAGCCTTTTCAAATTTAAAAAAAGAAAAAAAAAAAAGAAAAAAAAAAGAAAGATCATTTTGTGAAGAAATTAGCCCGAGGATTTTAAGAGATTATTGCCCTTGTTTGAGCCCCTTTTTTCTTCAAAATACATTTTTTAACAGTAATTTGACATCATTTCAACCACACATTTTTTAATAAAATAATATTACACGCAAATTCAAAACTTTTCCTTATTTTTTAATCACACATTCTCCATCACAACACTATTTCAAAATACATTCTTTTAAAAAAATGGGGCTCAAACAACCTGAATGAGCGCCTGTCGGGCACCATTGTTGTACAAAAAATGGATTTCCAATCACATCAAGTGGCTCACCATCTTATTGCCTTCCATTTATGCCCCTATTTAAAGTGTTTGCGCCATTTGTCCAAACAAGCACAAGCAAACGTGTATGACTTTTCAAAGGGCAAAATTGGGAAAGCAAAATCAAAGAGCCATATTTGGTACAGTTATAAGTCACCTTCATGTCCGATGAAATGGAATAACGAAATGAAATCAGACAATTCAACAGTTTATTTCTTCTTAAAAGGCAAAAATAATTGGGATTGTATTTCGAGGGAAGAAAGTTTTTTACCGACTCCGAAAAGCCACGCTGAGGCAAATGGATCATTACAAGTCTTATTTAGTGTTTAAAATAAATTCCCCATGATTAATTTTAATTTTTTATCAACGGTGACATTTGAATTCGTTATACATTTTTTTAAATAATTGATGGGACTTAATATTATAATATATAAAATTTTATCAAGCTATTGTTGGGCGACTAGTTAATTTATAAATATAATTGCTCAACCTATTTTTTAGTCACACGTTGCATAAGACTCACAAATTATATTCATTCATCAATAACATTTTTTTTTATCTATTTATAATTTAAATTAATTATAATCTATTCCTAAACAAGCACATGTTCTATTTTAAAAGGAAAATCGTCATCCTTGTTAAGAGAGCAGCTCAAGTCTATATATATGTGTGTGTGTGTGCGCGCGCGCGTGCTGGATCCACTTTTGTGGTTGGTCGAATCTACTTGGAGCAAAAGAAAATATTATTCTAGTTCAAGTCGTGAAAATATTCTCTTGAGATGTGCACAAGCACTAATTCCGATTTAGGCCAAATATAAAAAAGAGACCGGAAAAACATAATTTATTTGGTTCAACACGTGGTCTATATCTGTAGGCGGAAGCCAGAACTACCAAGAAAATTCACAACTAAAGTGAATATAAAATGAGTACACAACATCAAACTAAGACTTGCTCCAAATAACAAGATTACCTACTACAGAATACTCAAATTATCTACAAAACACGTGCACTAATGTGATACTACAAAGGAGCTTCTTATTTATAGGAACTCAAAGGGGCTACATATCATTGAATAAACTTTTAACAATCCAAAAGAATACTGTTACCATGGAAAGAATCTGTTTTCTGATTTCTTTTGCAATTGTACTGATGTCATATAACTTGGTTTTCTTAACCAGACCAATTGCAGGCATAAATGTTGATCAATCTGCTCTTCTTTCTTTAAAGGAGACTATCACTATAGATCCCAAACAAGTAACAGCTAACAACTGGTCAATCAATGCCTCGGTATGCAGCTGGATTGGAGTCACCTGCAATTCGCGCCACCAGAGTTGCAGAGTTGGATCTTTCAAACATGGGATTAACTGGTAGTATCCCTCCGAAGTTGGGAAACCTATCCTTTCTAATTTACCTTAATCTTAGTGGCAACCGTTTTCATGGCGAACTTCCAGGTGAGTTAGCTCACTTACGCCAGTTAAAATTCATGGATATTAGTGTCAACGATTTTTCTGGGGGGATACCACCAAGTCTTGGTCTATTACCAAATCTTGAACGGTTGATTATTGCTAACAACTCTTTTGAAGGAGCCATTCCATCTTCACTCTGTAACCTGTCGAGGCTGGAGATCCTGAACATGGACTTCAATTTTCTTCAAGAACAGATCCCATTAGATATTGGTAATCTTGGTAGCCTAAAAATTTTGAGAATGAGAAGCAACAGAATTTCTGGTTTTTTACCAAGATCAATATTACAGATCTCTTCACTAGAAATTATGAATCTTCAGGACAATTTCTTGTCCGGCAATATTCCAGAAGACATGTGCCATAATGTAACAAAACTCAGATTTCTGTCGCTCGCATCTAACAGCCTAAATGGCCAAATTCCACTGGATATATCAGAATGCACAGAGCTTCAGGTATTGGACCTGTATAGCAACAAATTAACAGGACTCATTCCAAGAGAAATAGGGAATCTGACTATGCTTGAGGTGTTAAATCTTCGCTCCAACATTTTAGAAGGTATGGTTAAAATTTTTTAACCACTACAGAAAATGGAGTATTTGATTAATATTTCCCAAATGGGTTCTTCAATATAAAGAAAAATTATATATTTTCACTATTTAAGCAGTCATTATCATTTCCAACTGAAATAAGCATGTTCCGGGATCCAAAGAACTGTATATTGGATCGTATTAAGGTTGTTATTAATCATTTGTAGGCACTAACGCACAAAATAATGTCGCAGGCTTTATACCCCAGGAGCTTGGATATCTTCATGGATTGGAAGAACTAGATTTGTTTAATAATAGCTTGAGGGGCTCTATTCCAGACATCCTCTTCAACAGCTCGAGTTTAAGAACGTTAAGTCTCGCCCTTAATTCCCTTTCAGGCTCTCTTCCATCAAGTATAGGCAATAACATGCCTAATCTTGAAGTGCTCTATCTTGACCTAAATAACCTCACAGGAGTTTTCCCCAACTCTCTCTCAAATTCTTCGAAGCTACGGGATCTAGACCTTTCTGTAAATCAGTTTACTGGTCTAATTCCCAATAGTCTTGGTAACCTAAAATTCCTCCAATCTCTCTATCTCCATCACAACAATTTGGAAGCTGATCAAGAGCTGAGCTTCATCACTTCCTTGACCAGATGCAGACATCTAAGACAAATTTTAGTCGGTTTCAATCCTCTTAAAGGCATCCTTCCAGAATCCATTGGGAACATCTCTAACCTTGATTACTTTGAGGCGAGTTATTCTGAACTTAAGGGTGGCATACCAAAACAGATAAGTAACTTGAGCAACTTGATAATAATAAACTTATCTGACAATGATTTGAGTGGATTTATTCCATATGAATTCAATGGTTTGCAGCAGCTGCAGGTATTATACTGTCCGTTCAACAACATAGGAGGAATAATTCCAACGAGTCTTTGTCATTTGCCAAACTTGTATCAACTGTCCCTGACCCGAAATAAAATTCTTGGAGCATTGCCTGAATGCTTAGGCAATGTTACTTCTCTAAGAAAGCTTTTTCTTGGTTTCAACAAATTAACATATAGCATACCTGCAAGCCTTTGGAATCTTAAAGATATCCTGTATTTCGATCTGTCCTCAAATCTCTTGAATGGATCCCTACCACCTGAAGTTGCAAGATTACAGGCTGTAATTGAATTAAATCTATCAAAGAATCAGTTCTCAGGCTATATTCCAAGTACAATAATTAAGTTACCAAACTTGATCTATCTGTCTTTGGCTGATAATAAATTTGAAGGAAGTATTCCAGACTCCATGGGGAAATTGATTAGTTTAGAAAATCTGGATCTATCCAACAACAGTCTCACTGGCATGATCCCAAGGTCACTCGAGGCCCTTCAACATCTAATGTATTTCAATGTATCGTTCAACAAATTAAGTGGAGAAATTCCAAGTGGAAGGCCCTTTGAGAATTTCACTTACCTTTCTTTCTTGTCAAATGAAGCTATTTGTGGTAAACCTCAATTCCATGTCCCACCTTGTCGAGTTAATTCTTCGCCCAGATCAAAGAATAAGAAAGTGGTGTTGGCTGTACTTATTCCAATAACAACTGCATTGGCAGCAGCCACCTTGGTCATCATACTTTTGTGGTTAAGATACCGACTAAGACAGGTTCAAGCTCAGGCTGATTCAATACCTGATAAAATGCTTCAAAGAATTTCGTTCTATCAACTTCAACAAGCAACTGATGGGTTTAACGATAGAAACTTGCTTGGCAGAGGAAGTTTTGGATCAGTTTTCAAAGGATCACTCACTGATGGGACAATTGTTGCCATAAAAGTGTTTCATTTGCAATTGGAAGGTGCATTCAAGAGTTTCGAAATAGAGTGTGAAGTGTTAAAGAACCTTCGTCACCGGAATCTCACCAAAGTTATCAGCAGCTGTTCCAACCTTGATTTTAAGGCCTTAATCCTTGAGTACATGCCTAATGGGAGCCTAGAAGAGTGGTTGCATTCTGATGGTCATTCCTTGGATGTTATTCAGAGATTGAACATTATGACAGATGTAGCACGTGCAATTGAGTATCTCCACCACAGTTACTCAACTCCGGTTGTTCACTGTGACTTGAAGCCTAGCAATGTCTTGCTAGATCAAGATTTGGTTGGACATGTGAGCGACTTTGGCATTGCAAAACTGTTAGAAGAGGAAGAAACTATTAAGCATACCACGACCCTAGCTACATTTGGTTATATGGCACCAGGTGAGTCTTGTGGCTTTCATTATGCTTCAAATATTATATCCTCCTGAAAAATAGTTAAATAATCCTTTCCAAATCAATAACCGCATTACATGACGTAACACTTCGCAGAATATGGAACAGAAGGAATAGTTACAATGAGGTGTGATATTTATAGTTATGGCATTATGTTGATGGAAACTTTTACAAGTAGGCGGCCCACTGATGATATGTTTTCAGAAGGGTTAAGTTTGAGGAATTGGGTTACTAATTCAAATCCACATGCCATAGATCAGGTTGTAGATACCAACATACTAAGTGCAGAGGGACAACACATAAGCGAAAAGCTGGAGTGTATATCATCCATTATGAACGTGGCAGTAAATTGCACGGCAGAATATACTGAAAACAGGCCAAGCATGAAAGAAGTTGTCTCATCACTGGAGAAGATTAAAGTCCAGCTCCTTAAATATTGAGGTAACATAAGATATAATGTTAAGTATTAATATTTCACTTTCCATTTTTTTTTAAATCTCTACCCTAGGTGGAAGTTCAAAGTCTGCTGGTGAAGGACCCAAATATTTCCATTCAATGCTAAATATGCTGCATCCATCAGATGACAGATTTTATACAATCTTTGTTAGATTTTGAAATTACTAGACTTTTGCGTATTCTTATATTACTAGAAACTTTCCGCATGACAGAACATTTCTGCTTGTAGATGTTGAAGCTTTTGTCTGAATTACTCCAACCTCAGACATGGCAAGTTCAGTTTCCCAGAGCAAGACGGAAAAAGGAAAATACGTTGCAGAAATCATTTTCCACAAGGACAAGCAATTAGAGAATTGGCCGATGAAATGAATGCCATGCTGTTTAGTTAGGATATTTCGTTTGTAGATTCAATCTTAGACAATTATTGTGTAAAAACAAGTGATTAATCCATACTGGTTGTCTAATTATTCATATAATCTTTCTCGGAGAATAGCACAGGCCATTTCTTCCTTCTTTCATTTACTGTGTCAAGCGAATGCTACGAAAGCAACAACAGTCCCTACCTACCCTGGACCATCCCTTCACCTGGATAATGTAAATATTTGAGCAATGTAACTAGGGCTGGACAAAACTTTCGAACCGAACCCACCGAATCGAATCCGACGGTTCTTCTCAAGTTAAATACTCGAACGGGTATTTGAATCAAGAACCGACGGGTATGGTTCGACTCTCGGTTCTAGGCCAAGACCCGAATAACCGAATAAGAATCGAATCTCCGTAATTTTTTAATTAATTTATTTTAAATAAGTAAAATTATTTACTTTTTCTAAATAAATTTGGTAACTAGTTAATTTAATTCAAACCACAAAATATGATTCCTATTTCTAATTTTTAGTTCAATATCAACTTAATCAAATGAACCTCAATTTTATTCAAATCTGTTATTCTACTATAGTTTCGTTTCTACCGGAGAAAATCGAATTAAAGCTCTACAACATCTCTCTTAATTATTTTGAGCTCGCTATCTTTCTCTTTTTGTAATTTTAATAATCAAATTTATGAAGAATTCAACAAAGAGAGATGTGAAACACATAAAATTGAACTACATTATTTTATAAGAGCCAATACATCTCGAGAGAAAGTATTGAATAGATTTATGAGCATTGATTCGTCAACAACTCAATCGTGTTGTCACATTGTAAAATTAGGGTTTAAGATGATCGTTGAGTGGGAAATTGTGTTCCTAGTACGCTTAATTTACATTGAATACTAATAATTTGCACTCTCAACAGTTGTTTTGCATTCTAGGTTGTTAAAAATCCCGTCTTGCATATTAATCTCATTTCAATCGTAAAAATTTCATAAATTAGGGTTTGCATTCCAATTTAGGGGTTTCTTTCTAAAATTGGGGTTTATTTAGGTAAACATTCACATTGAGTAAGTTAGTTTCGTTTAAGACTATGATCGGTAAAATTAATGAGTAGTATGTAAGTACATCAGTTACATTATCTGATGGTTGAAAGTGTGGGTTGGGATGATGGTGTATGTAGCTTTTTAAGAGTTGAGCATATTGTTAATTTGAGGGTGAAAGTTTTGATGGTATTGTTGGTTATTTACTTATAGACATTCGAAGTGATAGAGTACAACCATTTAAGTACCAATCTTTGTGTTGAATTTCGTGGTTTTTAATATACACTTGGGAAATCCCTAATTCTAGCTTGTACTATAGTAACAGTGAAAACGGTATTATATGTGTAAATGGTGATAATTAGGTGAGGAATTTTAATTCTTTTGGGGAACTAAATGATTAGTGGCATTATGAAAATTTTGTGGTGAATTGTGGCCACTTATAATGGTGTATATTTATGCCATATGATAATAGAAACTATAATGGTGTATATTTATGCCATATGATAAGAAATTGTGGAAGACAAATGATGGTTTGTTGGTTGATAGATAACAATGTGTTATTGTATTTTAGGCATCGAGGAAATTAATGGTAATTCCAATTATTTCGATAATTTATGAGTTGTTTGATTATAAGGAATGTGAGAATAATAGGGATGAACTTCGTAATGATTACCTATTATGAGGTGATTAGTTGCTTTAAAAATAGAATTAAATGGATATGTGCATTTAGGTATGTTTATGTGGGAAGAAAAAAAATTAGAGAATGTAGAATCGAAATTTGTTGAGATTGGGAAATTAACATGCGGTATATTGATATGTGAAACGTTCATGTGATAAATATGAAGGTTATTATCTTGTGGTATTATGGAAAATTAATATAATTAAATATTTTAGGTCATACAATATGATGATAAAATGCCAATGTTACATGATCATAACATGATATGGTGAATAGCATGTAAATGAATATAATGGTTGTCCTATAACAAAATAATGTGATGATAAATTGGGTTATTAAGTTAATTAATTTCTTTAAGGCCATTCGTTGGATTATTGTGTTACATATCATACAATTTGGAAGCATTGAGTTAAATTTTGAAGTTAAGATGAATTTATTGAAATTTTAGTGATGTAATTTTTGGGCCATTTTCAATTGTATGGATCACAAACAAAGTATTCCATTTTCATCAAAATATATTTGTTAAGGAATATAAGTAGGACATGTTGGATTTGGATATTTCTAAAGTTTAAAATGATCATCAAATAAAGATCTTACTTATTGTAAAATAGTATCTTTAGGTTACATTATCTCAATTAAATGTCTTTATGCAATATATAAGAAGGATTATGTATTGGTGATAGATCAATGACCCATTTATGGAATAAAAGCATAGATTTTCATGGATTAAATGTTATTATTGCCTTTTCATAGAAAGAAAGAACAAAATTTATATGAGTATAGAAATGTCAAAAGTTTTGCTATCAGAAAATTCTGAGGAAATATTTGTTCTTATATCGAAAGATGATAAGTGATTGATTCACGATAATAATTTATGTTATGGTATAGAAAATGTTCTCCAAGTAGACTGATAAAATACGGATTATGTTGTAGATTGATAAAGAGATATGAATAAATCATGATATATTGTTGGTTATATTGGGATTGACATTTAGGAATTGTGGCGTTATCACATGGTGGAAAGACCAATACTTACTGACTACATGAGGTTAAGGTATATTTGTATTCGAAAAAGAGTTGAACTTGAAGTTGTATATATATTATTATTGGGTGATATAGAAATGAAGGAAAATAATAATATATTAAGTTATTTCAATTGTTGTTGGTTATAACTGAAATTTTAGAAAATCATGAACAATTGAATTTTTACAAATATTATCAATTTAGAATGGAAGAGGTTACCCTCAAACAATTTTCATTTGGAGTTCTAAATACACTAAATGGAGACAAAATGGAATTTAGATTATTAATGATAAATCGACAAAAGTTACAGGATTATTTTCAAATAATATAGTCAGTTCATGAGATACATTAATAAACTATATATGGATAAGATAGTGATTTATATGGTGGAGTTTTAGCATCTATTTTTGGCTGATATAAGGAGTTACAGAAATAAAGTACATTGTGCAATTTCTAATAGAATGCCAGAAAATATGAAGACAAGTTCAGAAAATATGTCATCAACGCATGGGATTCTATTTAAATGGAATTGAGATACCTAGTTAGTGAGACAAAAGTTGGAAAATAAGTTATCAAGGTGGATTGGAAAAATCATTCAGGATGAGGCATTATGGAAGATTAAATCTGTGCGCTACATATTTATTGGTTTGAATCTTAGCCGAATGAATTTTAAGGACGAAATTCTTTGAAAGGGGTAAGATTGTTACATCCCATTTCGTAATAGTCAAAGGTCAATACTATTTATTCAAAGTCAATATTTGACTAGTCAAAGTCAAATTCAAAGTCAAATAATGACTTAAATGAAGTAAATCATTTTAGTGGGACTTGAATTGACCAAATTTTTTTTGGGAGTTTATTTTACAAATTGACAACATTAGAAGGTTTAAGATGGATAAAATTTAAATTTGGGGAAATACTTATTAATTATTAAAAGTTAGATGACTTAATAAGATATCATATGAAACTTGGAGGACTTGATAGCAAAAGGGTTGAGTGGTGGATTACAAGTGGCACTTTGCATGACATTTCTTCATTATTCATATTACATACACACAAGCAAGTTGAGAACGAATTGGGGCAGAAACAGTGAAAAATCGGTAGAAAGAAAGGAGGAAAAGAAGAAGAAAAGAGAAGAAAGGGAGGGAGGGAAAAAAAAAAAGAAAAAGAGGAAGAAAAAGAAGAAAAAAAGTGGAAAGTTCAACTATGTTGTTAGAAAATAAGTGGTCTACACTATTAGGCTTGAATTCCTCAATTTTGAAAGGTAAGTAAAAAGTTACTTATTGTCAAGTTATGTTTAATTTTATAGTTGTTAGATTGTCAGATTAAATTCAATTTTATTGAAGGAGTTAAGTATAATAAATTATGAAATTGTGTTAAATGAAAGAAAAATTAGTTTTAGTGATTAAAGAGATTTTAGAAATCGCTTAAACGTGAAATGATTAAATTTGTATATCGCATATTTAATTATTGAAATTACTT